TGGAATTGAAGAATTGTGGATAAAAATCAAAAAATCCTCCTGTGGACTTATAAAGGAGAAACCGTAGTTGCAACTCAATAATGAGGAGTTGGCCAGGGTGTGAAAGATACTATTTACTATTGCAAATGTGACTCACATTTTCATAAATTGATTGATTGCCCCAAGAGAAAAGTTCAACCTATTTAAAGACGTAAAGCCCGAAAGTAAAAGACCTAGAGGCACGTGACCTGTTTTAAAATGTTCCCTTTACCCTCAACCCTATTGCTAAGCATTGATATAAAATAGTATTGAGTTAAGTGTACAGTCTTCTAAAAAGTGTTTAAAAGTAACTGAAATGGACAGTAATAAACTGATAATTTTATAGAAAACTTTATGTTAATTATAGAACAATTTTTTCCCAAATGTGGGTCATCATCTCCAATAGTTCCAATTCAATACTATCTATCTTTAATGAAAGAAGTCTGAGGAAATCATATATCAGAGTATATAGAATAATTTTCAATATACACAAAATATTCTCAAGGTGACCTACTAGAGTGGTTGTCAACATAGGAATAATTTAATTTTAATATTTGAGTTTCAACATTAAAAATTTCAAAGTTCTATTTAACATTACTACCTTGATTTTTCTAAATACAGCCTGAGACCAATGAAATAGACATCCACTTATTTCTGCATTTTCACAAACAGACAAAATTGCTTTCCAATTGCCTTTTCAAAATCAATTACAAATTTTTTTGGCTGGTGATTATTTGTTAATTAACAAACTGTCTGAAAAATTTACAAAGAGTAATTAAATAAAGAATTACTTTAAAAGCCACTACGCACTAGTAAATCCTTTCCTTTTTGACTACCATTTTCTATAATTTCAAATTTAGAGGAATCAAAAAATTTAATTTAAAATTTGTATATACAATACTGTTCTTCTTAACATGCATTAATCAGATATACTCCCTCCTTATATACTGATGCCAAATTTACTAACTCAATCAATTTGTTGATGCATATAGCATGTTGTTCATCTATATTTTATACAAAACTATTTTTAAATGGCATTTTGACATTCTTAAACAGACTGAGCAAAGACATTTGTCAGACGCTGTTTAAAGAATTACCAATATTACCAACAACGAAAAAGGTAACATTAGCTAATTTTTCAAGAAACATTGACTTCATTATCTCTTCATTTATATATGGAATATCTTTAAAATTTTGTTCCATGACTTCTTAATAGTTAGTAGTGTCTTTTTTAACATTTTTTAAAATGATAAATATGCATAACTTCTAAGAATCAATACATCCTTCACTGTGTGCCCATTTGTAAAGAAGATATGTAACATGTAAACTTTTCCCCATACCAGGCTCTCCTTGTATTAGAATCTTTTAAATCCTTTATGAAATATTTATAGAAATTTTCGTAGTCATAACCTGTTGCTTGTAATTCAGAATTAAAAACATCACTATTTGCTAACCACTCTTGTTGTAGAAAGAAGTAATGGAATTATTGTAAATTCATTTTTTCTATGTTCTTAAGTATCCAAAATCAATTGCCTCCATATTTTGTGTATATTAAACAAATATAAGACTATCTTGAAGGTCAGAGAAAATTGCCCAAGTTTTCTTAAATTCATACAGAATTCTTCTTTTTCTGAGTAGTATTGATATTTTAGATTATCTGTTTGATTATTATTTAAAATTCCGAAAGAGATTGCAGTCTTGAAGAAAATGCCTCAAAGATGCAGGATCCCTAAGTACATTTTCTATATCTTTTTTGTAGTAAATAAGGCATAACTTTTCCTTTGTGCTAAGTTCTTTTAAATTCATATTTCTTTTGAATAATCTAAGGTACGACATAACTCATTTTGTCTTATGTCATTTACACATACAGTTACACTGAACAAGCAGTGGTAGATATCAAATACCTTTTTGAGAAATATTAGAAGTGTTTTGAAATTTGCAGCTTATTGCAAAGCAACTTACTAATATTATATTTGCTCTTTTGAAATTACAATGAATAAATTTGAATTTATAAAAAGTTAGGAACATGTAGAAAATGGGGGAGAATCTTCATTAAAGGTGGCCATAGGTTTTATTGAAAAACTCAAAATGCTGCAGAGAACTAATCAAAGATGTACATGAAAGATTGGAATGGCATAAATATATATAGAAGCCAAATCTTACAGGTTCAACAACCTCGTCCTGTAAATAGACCAACGATGTGTCTTACAGCTTTAAATTGGAACACATTACTCACCTGATCCCTGAAATATGAAAAGATAGCAAATAAATGAGGTATTCTGAGCATTTGAATTAGAAAAAATATCACTATGTTATATCTGGTAAAATGAACCTGAAAAGCTTTGAACTATTTTCAATAAAACTAAAATGTTTAGCAGATTGTTTACCCCAAAAGAATCAAAACTCTTTTGTCAAGAAACCTATTAATATTAAAAATTGTTCATAGTTGTCAAAGAGATCATGAAGGGTTCAACAATTGCTATTTTCACCTTACTTTTTCTGAGTTTTGGTTAAATTTCCCTAAAATTAATATTTTCAACTAAAACTTATATGTTTTTTTCGTTTACAGTTAATGTGGTTCATTTACAAGGTTTTCGATTAGAGGTTGAAATTCCTGCTCATATTTTGGAAGATGTGGAAGATCGCATAATCATTTTTAGGCAAAATTCTGGAGCTCCAGTATGCAGGTTGTTTTTAAATATAAATACCTAAATTATGAATTTTATCAATCTAATTTGTTGGATAGCTTTTCACTTACAAAACCAGATGGAACTTTGGTGACACAAGGCACAAAAACTGTAAATAGTGCCTATGTACCTCACACATTGAGCGGCTCCCTGTTTTCAGGGATCACTGAGGATTATATATTGACTTACACTTTCAATTGTCAGGGTGCAGGGGAGACAGTGGAATTTGAGATGCGATCATGTGTTAACTCAATTGAAAGTATGCAATATTATTGTTTATTTTTTAAATATTACCAAATGTCTATAATATTTCTTTAGGTTTTGGTAGTTCTTCTCTACCTGCAACCTTTAATATCGGAATAGATGTTTCAGCTTTTCAAGCTCCACCAATTACAGTTCTTATTAGAGGCAGTTCTGGTAGCGCTACTTGCACGTAATTATTTCAATAAAAGTTTTTGTATTTTTTAATATTCATCATCATTTACTTATCTCTTATTCTCTATTTCAGAGTAGCTGAACCAGATCCTTCTATAGCTTCCATTAATAATAGGGGACCAGAAACTTTGATACAAGGTGCAATGGAAATTGCAGTGACTAAAGATTGTTCGGTTGACTCTCTTTTCCTTGTTTCAACATGTACAAAGAACGGAAAAAACTTTGAAAATGAAATTCCTATATACTTTACACCTAGTACAATTTCACCATGGGCTATTCTGTAAAAGATTAAAAAAAAGGTAATTTGAAATTTCTTCTAAATTTTCAGATATTCTTTTATCACCACAATTACTTTTTGATACTAGAATCTCAGAGGAGTTTTATTAGATTTTTCATCAACAATCTTGGCATAATTTACTGATTGGAATAGAAAGAGAGATTGACAAAAAGATAGCAAAACATAGCGATAATTTGAAAAGATTTTATCAGAAAAAAAAATTGACTGATAAAGTAAGAATAGTTTGACTATTAATAGACAGGAGTACTAGTAGTCAAACTACTGAAAAACCAGATGTAAATTCCATTTTCAATACCAAAATTTTGTCTTGAAATTTCTCATTTGTGGACGTTTTCTGTCGCATCCGATAGCAAAACATAGCGATAATTTGAAAAGATTTTATCAGAAAAAGACAATTGACTGATAATGGTATCAAGAAGAAACTGGTATATAAAAAAGTACTCTTGGTATAAAATTTTCTACTTAATTAGTAGATTAAATACAAAATATTTTCAGGAAATTTTGCAATCAATGAATGATTCTACTCCAAGAAAAGTTGTTCTAGATTTTGAAAAATACCGTTGGAAAGTAATCAAGCAAATTTCAGCAGATGTTAAAGTCCAGGGGTGTGGATATCATTGATCTCAAACAGTGATTAGAAAAATAAAAGAATAAATTTCAACACTCTTGTATAAATATATAAATAGTAAAATATAAGAAAACAGATTCTTGGCTATACAACAATATTTATTAAGAAGAAGGATGGATGGAAATATTCAACAAAAGCCTTGATCACAACATGATCACAAAAAGTTCATTATATGATTTAAATGCCGAATTGCAAAGGGAATCTGATTTGATATACATCTTGTACAACCTACCTATATATATTATTTTACTCTAAACTACTATAGGCCAACTACATATGCTGTCTAAAAACCAATTAGGAAAACACATTAACTCTTCGCCAAGTTATCATTCAATTAGTTTTCATAAAAGACAAACATTTAGGAATATATCTATAAAAACTTTGAGATAAACTGTTACTAAAGGTAAACATGAATCAAATTATTCACTTAGTGAAAAGTGTAGTTCAGTTTGTTAACATAGCAAAAAATGAGTAATAAACATCATTTCTCCACCAAGACCAATGAATCTCCAATTGGTTGTAACAATGAAAGAGATGAAATTAATGGAGATTTTACGAAAGGGATATTCAAGAAGATTTTTTAAATTTGGTAAATACCTTAACCCTACATCCTATAATTTCATTTATAAAGTATTTATGGTGAAAACATTATAAATACAGTTTCCCTTTGCATTCAATTGAGCAGCAATTTAATGACAATTTTCATTTCTAAACTTGAACAATTATGAGTAGCAAAATAAACATTAAGTAGAAAAGACTATTGTCAAATTTCATTGTTTGTGATGCGCCATCTAAAAGGAAGAAAACATGAAATGTGCATTATGTAAAGCAAAGATGGTTTGTGTGTTTGAAAAAACTCACTAGCTGATAAAGATATGCTTTTGGTTAATTTATTCTTTGTACCACGAATCTCATTCCAGGCAGTACATTTGTATTCATCAGTAGATTTTTCAACCTTCATTTTGGTGTTTGTTGATAGAATTTTATCGGATGATTTCTTGAAAAAAAGTAGGATAATTAGATTTTGTTGCAATTAGAAAAAAAGAAACATTTTTCTATTAATTACTTTTCTCCATTCGTATTTTGGTGGTGGATTTCCTACTGCTGAACAGGAAAGTTCTATTTCAGTCTTGCCAATTTCAGAACTAATATTTATGTCATTTACTTTATCTGCAGAAAACAGAATCTGTACTCAACAGTTCATTCAATCATTTAAAACTTACAAAGAACTTGAAATTTTATAGGTTGACTTTTGAAGTGTAAAGAAGATTTTCCATCTGTTCGATGTAAACTCAGTTGACAATAGATATTATTATCATTCATTTCCTTAGAAGCACTAAGATTAGCTTTAAGAGTTATCAATCCATCAATGAAAATGACTTTACTAAATTTATAATGTATTTTTTTGTCATTTAAAAATATCTGAAATTCAGAGTGTCCTGATCCCCAATAATTGAATTCGCACGAAAACATGAATTCTTCACCTTCTTCAGGAGAAAAATCTTTTGGATATTCTATGATTCTTGGAATTGAATCTGTATTTTGTTTTTTGAGAAAAATCAAATTTAACCTTAGTGAAGATATTAGTTGGTAAAAGAAAAACTGTTACCATAAATGGCTATTCCTGTTTCTACAGAATCAGTACTAGTTCCATCAGCAATAGAAGCTTTAATTCGCATGCCATCAGTCTATTTTTATTTATCAATGTTTCAATTATTTAAGTTTAACAAGAAAAAAAACCCAGGGAAAGTATGAATCATTGATTACTCACTTTTTGTGATTTGTCTACAGTAAATGTATAACTGGAACTTTCTAAACCAGGTGTTGCTGTCCACCTATTCTGGAACTTTGATTCAAAGTTTGGAGTTTCATACATCAGTTCTGAAGTATTATTAAAAAGATTTTCCAATCGAATCTTTGCTTTATCTAATTAGAAAACAAAGACACTGATAATAAATTGAATGAAATTCTAAAAATAGAATATTTACTAGTGAGAGTATAAGTTACACTTATCTTATCTCCAAGTTTAAAAGCTTTGTAAGTAGGAGAAGAGTAGAATTTGACTGAAATATTACCATTGCTTTTTTATTCATTAAATGAAACCAGTACTGAAATAGTTCAAATAAATATAAAGATACCTGCAGAAGAAGAGATGACACTACTCAGTATACAAATTGTAGAGATGAGTATCCCACAGATGTTTGTCCTTATAACCACCATATTTTTATATTATTGATTTTTTCTGGAATGTTGGAAAATTGATGAAATATTCTGTTCATTTTATGAAATCAATAGTTTGTTATTAAGGGTTTTGAGGTTGAAAATAATAGAAATGTAAATTTCTATTTGAATGAGGGCAAACTTTTATTGTTGATGAGTCAAAACATTGCTATTTTCATGTTAAAATCCCCCACTCATTTTTATTTCTATGACACATATTCAATACAATTATTATGATGACTTTATCTTTTTGTTAAATCACCTATTTTTTATTTGTGTCTAGATATTCTGAGAAGAGAATCTAATGGAGCAAAATTTGTAAACTAGTAGAGGAAACTGGTAATTAAACTAATCAAAATATACTATATAGGCATATATAGTCGGTAAAAAATGTCCAAAAATTTATGATTTCTCAACTTTAATTCTAACCTCTAACTATATATCTAGTATAGGGCAGTAGATATTCACTTTTCGTCAATTAGATATTAGTACACAAGTATATATAGATCAAATCAATAGAAAGCAGCTACAGTTTACCTGAGATATAATTTAAGATATCATCTGTTACTGTTTCATTTTTAATTCTTACCTTTACAATTGTTTAAGCTGTTATTCTTTTGATTTCTCGTCACACTTTCAAAATGCTACAAATAGCCTGTATTCCAAGATAAAGAAGGAATGACACAAATGTGCTGTATATAAAGGGTCACATGTGTCATGCCCTCTGTAAAAATCAATAGGTGAATGCTCTAGCATTCATGTTTATTTTTAGTAAGAGTATATGGTCAAGTTTGCACTGTTGAATTTAACATTATAGTACTGCTCTTGCTTGGCCAATGTTATAGCATTTTCTTCCTGTAGGTTTTTTAGAGGTAGATGTATAAGTTGCATCAAGTATTATAGTTCAAGCATCAAATATAACCAAAGTTGTACATTATTTAATAAATAAAGTTGAAAATTAATAGAACACAACGTTGCTTTCTTAATAGCTCATTTTGTAATAAATCAATTAACAAACTAATAGCGATTATTACCATTCATGTGTAGGCATTAATAGGTTAAGTTTATGATTTTGTAATTGTTAGTGTACTAAGTAGTAATTTATATACAAATATTTACACATAATACTCTCATATTCTTATATTTTGTGTTTTCTATTCTATAAAATCCATTTTAAAATAACAAATGAATTGTCTGTTAATGTTTTATGGAAAAGTTGTGATATTTCTTCCGAAATCTCAGTTTAAATTGCCCATTCAATACGAAAATTGTTAAGGGGATGGCTATAAAATATGCTTTGTAATATCCTTGGTTGTGATTCATTGTACAGTGAACATAGTGTTTGTACAAGTGAAAATGGTGGAGAATATATGTTGTTTGTTTATCATGTCAATAATAGGACTATTCACCTTTCACCTAGGTGTAATTTTATCCAATTATTATTAAATGGAATTGACAACTACTAGATTGTAAGTTAAAATATTGTTGATGCTATGATTTTGAATGAATTGCTGTACTGTTTTTTCATTATGATTATGTCAACTAATGAGAAATACTGCAAAATTAAAGATTTATTCACTATGCTTAAAATGTTTTAGAACAAGTTATACCTTTTACACTATAAAATAAATGTTTAATAAAGTATTACGTCATTGTTCGTTTGTTTATTTAGATATTTATATGATTGTCAAAGGTGCTCAATTTCTGAAATTTTCATATTTGTATATAATATATATATATATATGTAGTCGATGAATGAGTAGCGAGTGTAGGTTAAAGCTATTTCCACCAACTTTACTTAATATACACATTAAAGATTTAAGGTATATACTAGTAAATATAGCAGTAATAATAAGTAATAACGTGTCGAAATAATAAAGGGTAATTAAATACAGTTAGGTTTAAAAATATATGTAACGTAAAGTAATTATAAAATAACGTAAAGGGAATTTGGCTCACTGCCAAATTTAGGCGATGTACCCATCGACTACATATATATAGATTATCCTCCAACTGCTCAACTGAAATTGTCCTTAAAAAAGAGACAGGGATCCATACTTGACTTTTATAGAGAGTGCAATAAAATGGGATTAGATGAGATAGACGAAACGCTAAATTATACTTTCAAAATTTGTATCTATATAAAAGAAGATTTATGGTGTTTTGGATTATCATCAAACTAATTGAAAATCTCTACTAGAATGCTGTTTTACTTATAAATATTCAATATTTATGAAATTTTGTTAACCATCTCCTTCACTATTCAATACATGTTCCGATTTAATTGCATCTACATATTTAAATATATTTTTTTTATGCTGTTTTGGATTAATTGGCATAATACTCAATATTATTTTACCCTTATCTTTCATATTGCTGTTATGAAGAAGATGGATAAGATCATTTATATTATGATGTCATTCTCTGATCTTTTTGTCAATTTATTGGAAGTATAATATAAGAAACAACTTCCATCTTAACTTGTTGCCATGACTATAATTTTTGTTTTAAATGTGAATTGAATATTTAACATGATATTTTTTACTGTAAATCTCATTTTTGATTATTTTCTTTATTTACTAAATAAACAGATAAGGCCACAGTTAACTTCCCTGGAAACCCAAAACAAATGAAACAAAGTTGTAGTTTTCCTCAACATCAACTGATGCATAAGAACAACCACCATAAATCCTATTAAATCAAGATGAAGGGACTCTTCTTCACCCAGAAGGAGGAAGTTGTACAACTTTGGTCATATTTGATGCTTGAACTATATTACATGATACAACTTATACATCTAACTCTGAAAACCTACACAAGAAAATGCTACATCATTGGCCAAACACAGGGCTGATTAGTCAGCTTGAAGGCTTATCTTTAATTACCAGGTCATCTTCCTGCTTGCTTCAGTATTATTATTTTGAATAAACTGTTTTAATTTAAACAATTGTTTAAAAGGTTCTAGTAGAACCACTATTGTTGTAACTTGCATAAGCATAAATAATTTTAAATTCAACAGCATAAAACTTTTGCATATACTCTCACTAAAAATAAACATGAATGCTAGAGCATTCACCTATTGACTTTTACAGAGGGCGTGATCACCACTAACACGTGACCCTTTATATACAGCGCATTTCTATGATTCACTCTTTATATTGGAATAAAGTATATTTGTAGCATTTTGAAAGTGTGACGAGACATCGAAAGAATAACAGCTTGAATAATAGTAAAGGTAAGAATTAAAAATGAAACAGTAATGGATGATATCTTAAATTATATCTCAGGTAAACTGTACCTGCTTTTAATTGATTTGATCTATATATACCTGTGTACTAATATACTGTATAATTGACAAAAAGTGAATATCTACTGCCCTATACTAGATATATAGTTAGAGGTTGGAATTAAAGTTGAGAAATCATAAATTTGTGGACATTTTTTACCGACTATACACCCCTATATAGTATATTTCGATTAGTTTAATTACCAGTTTTCTCTACTAGTTTACAAATTTTGCTCTGTTAGATTCTCTTCTCAGAATATCTAAGATGTAAAAAAAAAATAGAAGATTTAACAAAAAGATAAAGTTGTGAAAATAATTGTATTGAATATGTGTCATAGAAAAAAATGAGTAGGGGATTTTAACATGAAAATAAGAATGTTTTGACTCATCAACAATAAAAGTTTGCCCTCATTCAATTAGAAATTAACATTTCTATAATTTTCAACCTGAAAACTGATAATAACAAACTATTGATTTCATAAAATGAACAGAATATTTAATCAATTTTTCATCATTCCAGGAAAAATCCATAATATAAAAATATGGCGGTTATAAAGAGAAATATCTGTGCGATACTCATCTCTACAATTTGTATACTGAGTAGTATCATCTCTTCTTCAGCAGGTATCTTTATATTTATTTGAATTATTTCAGTATGGGCTTCATTGAATGAATAAAAAAGCAACGGTAATATTTCAGTTAAATTCCACTCTTCTCCTACTTACGAAGCTTTTAAACTTGGAGATAAGATAACTGTAACTTATAGTCTCACTGGTAAATATTCTATTTTTAGAATTTCATTCAATTTGTTATCAGTGTCTTTGTTTTCTAATTAGATAAAGCAAAACTTCGATTGGAAAATCTTTTTAATAATACTTCAGAACTGATGTATGAAACTCCAAACTTTGAATCAAAGTTCCAGAATAGGTGGAAAGCCACACCTGGTGTAGAAAGTTCCAGTTATACATTTACTGTAGACAAATCAAAAAAAGTGAGTAATCAATGATTCATACTTTCCCTGGGTTTTTTTTTCTGTTAAATTTAAATAATTGAAACATTGATAAATAAAAATAGACTGATGGCATGCGAATTAAGGCTTCTATTGCTGATGGAACTAGTACTGATTCTGTAGAAACAGGAATAGCCATTTATGGTAACAGTTTTTCTTTTACCAACTAATATCTTCACTAAGGTTAAATTTGATTTTTCTCAAAAAACAAAATACAGATTCAATTCCAAGAATCATAGAATATCCAAAAGATTTTTCTCCTGAAGAAGGTGAAGAATTCATGTTTTCGTGCGAATTCAATTATTGGGGATCAGGACACTCTGAATTTCAGATATTTTTAAATGACAAAAAAATACATTATAAATTTAGTAAAGTCATTTTCATTGATGGATTGATAACTCTTAAAGCTAATCTTAGTGCTTCTAAGGAAATGAATGATAATAATATCTATTGTCAACTGAGTTTACATCGAACAGATGGAAAATCTTCTTTACACTTCAAAAGTCAACCTATAAAATTTCAAGTTCTTTGTAAGTTTTAAATGATTGAATGAACTGTTGAGTACAGATTCTGTTTTCTGCAGATAAAGTAAATGACATAAATATTAGTTCTGAAATTGGCAAGACTGAAATAGAACTTTCCTGTTCAGCAGTAGGAAATCCACCACCAAAATACGAATGGAGAAAAGTAATTAATAGAAAAATGTTTCTTTTTTTCTAATTGCAACAAAATCTAATTATCCTACTTTTTTTCAAGAAATCATCCGATAAAATTCTATCAACAAACACCAAAATGAAGGTTGAAAAATCTACTGATGAATACAAATGTACTGCCTGGAATGAGATTCGTGGTACAAAGAATAAATTAACCAAAAGCATATCTTTATCAGCTAGTGAGTTTTTTCAAACACACAAACCATCTTTGCTTTACATAATGCACATTTCATGTTTTCTTCCTTTTAGATGGCGCATCACAAACAATGAAATTTGACAATAGTCTTTTCTACTTAATGTTTATTTTGCTACTCATAATTGTTCAAGTTTAGAAATGAAAATTGTCATTAAATTGCTGCTCAATTGAATGCAAAGGGAAACTGTATTTATAATGTTTTCACCATAAATACTTTATAAATGAAATTATAGGATGTAGGGTTAAGGTATTTACCAAATTTAAAAAATCTTCTTGAATATCCCTTTCGTAAAATCTCCATTAATTTCATCTCTTTCATTGTTACAACCAATTGGAGATTCATTGGTCTTGGTGGAGAAATGATGTTTATTACTCATTTTTTGCTATGTTAACAAACTGAACTACACTTTTCACTAAGTGAATAATTTGATTCATGTTTACCTTTAGTAACAGTTTATCTCAAAGTTTTTATAGATATATTCCTAAATGTTTGTCTTTTATGAAAACTAATTGAATGATAACTTGGCGAAGAGTTAATGTGTTTTCCTAATTGGTTTTTAGACAGCATATGTAGTTGGCCTATAGTAGTTTAGAGTAAAATAATATATATAGGTAGGTTGTACAAGATGTATATCAAATCAGATTCCCTTTGCAATTCGGCATTTAAATCATATAATGAACTTTTTGTGATCATGTTGTGATCAAGGCTTTTGTTGAATATTTCCATCCATCCTTCTTCTTAATAAATATTGTTGTATAGCCAAGAATCTGTTTTCTTATATTTTACTATTTATATATTTATACAAGAGTGTTGAAATTTATTCTTTTATTTTTCTAATCACTGTTTGAGATCAATGATATCCACACCCCTGGACTTTAACATCTGCTGAAATTTGCTTGATTACTTTCCAACGGTATTTTTCAAAATCTAGAACAACTTTTCTTGGAGTAGAATCATTCATTGATTGCAAAATTTCCTGAAAATATTTTGTATTTAATCTACTAATTAAGTAGAAAATTTTATACCAAGAGTACTTTTTTATATACCAGTTTCTTCTTGATACCATTATCAGTCAATTGTCTTTTTCTGATAAAATCTTTTCAAATTATCGCTATGTTTTGCTATCGGATGCGACAGAAAACGTCCACAAATGAGAAATTTCAAGACAAAATTTTGGATTGAGAAATGGTTGGGCAGAAGAAAACAGTAACTGATTTGTACTTAAGAGGGTCTCCCCTAAGGGTTAGGGATAATGGAAAAGATTAGGTACAGCTAAGGGCTGGGTTACGGTTAGGGTAAAAGCACTCATTTATGGACGTTTTCTGTCGCATCCATCCCAGAGTTATTGCTACAACTCATAATAAATGAAGTCGAAGTTGTCTGAAAAGGGAGCTTTATGCAAATTATGCATTATTGGGTGTACAATGTTGTGTTGGAATTGTAGAAATTTCCTTCTTGTCCCAACCATAGTCATCCTTACCACTCATTTAATAATGCATCAAAGAACTGATCCAAATAGAAATCGATCTCCAAGAGTCAAACTATGTAAAATAAGATAATGCTAGCTGACAGGATGTCGACATCCCATCATACAAACTTGGTAGCAAATGTGGATTCTTCTTGATAACCTCAAAGCAGTTCTTCTTAATTTTTTCCAACAGTTCATCCTCTGACTAGAACTGTGGGCTATCATAGACCATTGTTTTGGTTGGGTTTCACATATTCTCAATTGGGCTCAGGTCAGGGCTCCTTGCTGCCTAATCAATGGGCTTGACGTTCTCTTTAAAGGCCCGTTTTTGTTCTTCTTGCTGTATGACAACCAGCATTGTCTTGCTGGAAGGTGTACTTCCTGCCCATTTTTGCTACAATCTCTTCCTGACATGAAGAACATTTTCCACAATGAAGGAGCTGTAGTTTTCTGCATTTAATCATCTCTTTATCCTCAAGACTTCAAATACACTGTCCGAAATCGTCAATCCTAAAGTCATTTTTTTTAATATTATGTCAATTTATCTCTTTTGCTATATAAATTTAGACCAAAAAGACTACTTTACAGTGAACAAACAATTTTAACCATTAATTAAAATTTGGCCTATAAGAATTTACAGTATTATTTTCAATTACAACTCTATTAAACATTTTCTAAGCTTTAACTTGAATTCAAGTCAACTTTAACAGAATTATAACTTTGTTCAAGCCTCATATTAATATATACATACTACTCAGCTTGAACTGGCTTAACGCTATTCCTCTTAACCTTGACCCTGAGTGAAACATATTTCGAGATTATTCGTTATTATAGTAAATCAATGAATATATGTTTATTTTTTATATTATTATTTTATAGAACTCAGTGCTATTTTACTTTGTAAAATCTTTCGAATAATCATCCCAAGACTGTTGATGTCATTCATTTGCAATAGGAGTGAATTGTCGGAAAATAGATGTCTAGTGAGCATGTGAAATTTCCTTGTTTGTGGCTATTGTAAAAGTATTAATTGAAATTTTTAATTGAGCGATATTAGAGTGAGTATGTTAAATAGAAAAAAAAACCTCATAAAATATATCATCCATCACAAATTTACCATTTAAAGAGAGCTTGACATTATGCAATTCCAATAGTACTTTTGAAATGAATTTTGAAAACCTAACGGAATGATATTATTTCTTTTCAAAAGGCCTATAAAATGTGCAACTAGAAGAAAAATGAAGAAAGAAAGGTTTAGGTTAAGGTAAATGAAAAATATTTTATTAACATTTCTTTTGATTTTCTTCTTCGACTGATTTTATTAAATTCAATCTGTTTTGAATAATTCAAAAAGTTGAACAATGACAATTTTAGAGGAAATATGAAAATTATAACAAACTTTTCCAGCATTTCAGTTATCGTCTTTCATTCTAATATTCGTTATTAATGAGAGAATACCTGTAGGTTTTTAAATAATTAAGAAACTAATAGTAAAGGACTTATTGAGCTTATGCGCATGCGCAATAATTTCAAATACTTACCTAAAATTGATATTGGTGTCCATATGCCAATATTTGTAAAAGCTAGAATAAACATACTAACTTTGAAGCTGACTGATGATTTGGTTTTCTTTTGTGAATGTTTTGCCACGGACCTCTTTATAACGATAACAATTTGAGTATAAAGAACACGGATTACAACTCCTGATAACAGCATGTAGACACCAAAGGAGAAAAATGAAAATATCCAACCATTAATTCTTTCACTCCTTATAAAGATATTAAAACAAATTGGCGTTTGATTATGAATGTTCTAAGAAGAAGAAGAAGAAGATCATGATGATATTTTCTCAATAAAAATCTTACCTTGTTCCAAATTGGTGGAAATACAGAGATACTCAAACACAAAAACACCATTGTAAACGTGACGTATTTTTTATATTTCACCACAAGAGACTGCTTTAGGGGAAATACAACGGCTTCGTATCTTTCAACGGTTATTAGGAGCATACTGGTTGTTGAGAAAACTGTTGAAAACGTTAGTAAAGTACCTATAATTGTACAAAATGGATTATTTTTCCATTTATTATCATTTTCCAAGTAATTCCCCAGGAAATAGGCGTCAACTATTGCAATTGATAAAACATAAAATGAGGTTAAAAGGTCACTAAAACATAATATTCTTGTAAGATGCTCAATTTTGAAATACAACCAAATAATCCGTAAAACCAATAGATGAACTTTTTAAACAGTGAACTAATCAAATCCGAACACGTAGTGAAAATTGATGAAGATGGATGACAAATTATTCTCTTATCAATATATCTCCACAATTGGCAACATAAATTAAAACTTTCTCCAAACACGTACTGAATTGATAAAAATCCTTGTACCATATTTGAAATTTGATCATTCTCTATTATCGTCCTATTCATATGAAGAACGCTTAGACGAGTCGTTTTTGAAAATGTACTCTGGCCAATTGTTTTTACGAAGCAGTCGGCCATTTTTAAAATATTTAAATTAGGTGTATTACTGAAAATGTCTAAATTTAGAAATTGGATATTTGTTGATGAAATATCCAAATAGTTTAAGTTGGTTGATTGGAGATTAATTAGGAATGATAGAGATTTTATAGGACTATTTGATAAGATTAGTTGTTGAAGGATTAATAGAGTAGTATTGAATAATAGATCTTCGTTAAATGGTTTATTTCTTTCCAATGATAAATACGTTAAATGAGGAAGATATTTCAACATATTTTCATTTAAAATCCAACCATTTTTCATGATTAAAACATTTAAATTTAAATTTAACGTTGAAAAGTTAAATAAATTTGAATATTCAGTTAAATTTGATATTGTAATCTTCCTAAATTGAGCAATGTCAACACTATGAAATATTGAATTATCTATTGAACTTGATTTGAATGAACAATTTAATGAAAATACGTCGGTTTGTTTACAAAATTTAGATAGTTTTTCGGGTAGAATTGGAATTTTACTCACTGTCTGTGAAAGTCTGTAATAGTGACAACGGATGTTGGCAAATTTCGTCACTTCCGTCATAACAATTCTTTTCACTATCGCAAACCTGATACTTTTTTATGCATTGATGATTGTTACACAATCTGTTTGGAAAGTTTCAGACAAGTTATTATCATTGTTCGCTTTATTCCATTTGATTCATTTACATTTCATCCTTGCCGCAAATTTCTATTGCTGAAGAAAAGTGGAAAAAGGATGATAAGAAACTGTAAAGACGGAACAAAGTATGACAAACTGCAATATTTTTCGTCCGAACCGTCCGCGCAATCCATTTGGCGATTGCAAACTAAAAGATAATTTATCCTTTCGCTATTATCGTAGCATAGGAATTGATATTGATAGTTTTCTTGGCAATTTTTCTCATCTTCCTTTAAATGACAATCAAATCTTCCGTCACAGACATACGCCATATTTATATACGTTCGTTCACTTTCGCACAAAAATGAACTATTGGGCAAAAGTGATATTTTCCAATTCAAAAGCGAAACAATTGGTTGCCTTTGAGGATCTGTTAGGTTTTGTTTTCTTTTCTTTTATCTATTTTCGTATTGAATATATTTCTTTTTTAAAACTCAACCCCGTTTTCTTTGACAAACAATTCTATTTGTTTTTCTACTTGCGCAGTTTATACCTTTTATATAGACTTTCTTCTCTAAACCATTGGATGAGTGAACGGTATAGCATAGGCTTGATGAACACTGTTCAGTTTGGTGAATTCTACCAAGGAATCTCTTTTTAGCTCCGTACTTCTGAGGCTATTTTCATACAGATTAATTGATGATTTAATCAGTCATTTTTTTTACAATTCTTACTCACCACTCCAAATAAAAACTTGGGTAAATCCAAACTAATATCACTGGATGTTGTTAAAACAGTTACATTCTTTACATTCTTTCTTATTCTAAAATCTAAATTAAAAAGTGTTTTTTGAACGCGAAATTTTGAAAGTTTAAAAATGTTTTTGCATTACGTTGATAGGCTATTGCACGTGAATTTGTATGTCTCTTCTTCTCTAATCTTATTTTGAAAATACTATCTAAGAATAGGATTATAAACGACTGATGAAGAGACGGAAAATCTGCCATTGTCATTTCATTGTTGACACATTTTTCACCAGCTTCAGAGGGAGAAATTAAATACCTTTCGGATAATAGAATATAGCAAGTATGGTAGATAATCACTGCATTATCTCCAGTACAATTTACACTCGGAGACAGTGAACAGCTGATTAAGAACGGAAATCTATCTAACAAATTCCGTCTACAAACAATACGGAAATGTTTCTAAAATAAAGATAATAAGATGACCTTCCGCCTACTTTGCAGTTTTAACTGTACATTGTCGGAAATTCTTTGCAGTTTCCGGGCATAGCATAGTTTCTAATGTTTTACTTTTCTTGGTGTCTTTTTCAGTTGTTACAGCGTCTTCACGACCTCCTTTCCTTATTATCATTCCGTAATTAAACCCAAAAAATGAGCATATTTTCATAGTTTCTTTATTAAGCATATATTGAAAATTCAACCAGTAATCATTAATAAAAATTTGCGGTATGCCTGAAAAATGTTTCAGCTCTTTTTCTCTTTTAAATTGGTAATAGAAATACAAAGATGGCATCTTTTTATTATTTTTTAATCCAAAGGCTAAGAAAACAAATTGATAGAGAGAGAAAAGTTTATTTTCTATTTACTATGCTCAATTGAGCACTGCTCACTGACTCATATTATGGAATTTCTCAACGCAAATTGGTCGAACAAGCCGCAGTTGCAATACTTTCTTACGTCTTAAACTTCTTGTAATATTGCATAGAGAGTTTTTATTGCAAATTTCAACATGATATATACCCTGCAACGGTAACCGGAAACGGAAGTTCTATTTTAAAAAAAACAAACAAAAAATATTTATAACAATACAAATTACTCTTTTGTAAATAGTTGTGTAACTGCAATAGTCCATTATTGAAGATATAGCTTTACCTATAAGCTCACACAGTACGGATGATCTGTCCAGTACATAACGTACAAAAGGATAGACTACACCTGCAGTCTTTGAATTGAAAACATATAAATTCTTTAATGATTTTATATAGGATGGCGGAACGTGGTCGTTTGCAACTTTTGTTACTGCAAATTCTGCAATTAGAGGAGGAATTGTTTAGAATTAATTCACTTAGTGTTAGGATTGTTTATCTTTCTCTCTCTCTCTCTCATTTTAACCTTTTAAATCCTCAAGCCTACATAAAACAGAATGATAAAATTTCTTTGATGGTTCAACTAATGATATGTTAAAATCATCATTATTCCATATGGCATAAATGAACCGTCTCATCTGAAATACTTTAATTTTGTGATTGATAAATAATGACGCTTCGCATAAATTCCTTTTATCTTCTTTTCTTTTAAATACTTTAAAAATTGTTCCATTTTTTCTGGCAAACAAGTTATACTTGTCTCCACTTAAATGTATTGCGTAATGATCTAAAAGAGTTCAGGGTAAACACTCTCTGTGAACTGTCTTTTTACCTATTTGGTTTAATAAGTGTAGATATTTACAGAGTACATGAAGTTTAAAGCATTTTACTGATAGTCCATTTGTCACTGTTACACTCCTACCAACACTTTTTTATTGGGAAAAGAAGAGAAATAAGGGTTAAAGTCTCTTTTTTTAGTTAAATGCGTAAAAAGTAACTATATATACATAGTTCCAAGATAAAAACTTTGAATTGCAGATGATAGCAGTTGAGCATTGTTTACTTTTAAGCATTGAATTGTGAAATAATCGTCAAAACCAAACGCTTTACATACATTTTTAATTATATCAAAATATTGAAATTCTAAATCTAAACATTGAAAATTCCTAGCAGACGTTTCATTTTTAAATATTGTTTGCAATATTCCAATAGCGAATTTGTCGGCATTTTGAATGATGTCATATGACCATTCAATATCCTTCAATTGATAAGAGACAGTCGCTGTATAAAAAATATCCATCATCTTCCTCAATTTATTATAAAGATAATTGAGTACCGTTTTCCACTTTTGGTAGACAGATTGCTTGTACAACTAGAATTTTTCTCCCTTTCCATCCATTTTCAAATTGGCAATTGGCGGTGAATCCGTTTTCCAAGACGCAATCCGTGATTATTTCGTACTTAAACTAACCGAAAACAATAACAAAAATACGAAATTATTTGCCTTTCTGCAAAAACAATTTTTTAAAAAACAAAAAAACTAATTATTACGCCCTGAGTCTTTTCTTCTCCTGTACAGCTTGCTAGACCACTTCCTCTTCCGGTATAAAGTTGGCAAAAGTATAAACATGCAACATATTCTCCGATCTTAATATCAAAGATTTCTGTATAGGCCTTTAAAGATTTCGAAAGAAGATAAAAACTGGATGAATAGCTTTTCTTTACGAGGAAAGAGTAGATCAATCTGGTTTGTATCACTTTTAAATCTAAAATTCATTATTATATCTCATTAAACATTTGCCATCTGACATTTAGACATACCGTCTAATTCTTGATAGGTGCAAGTTTGTATTGTATTATTCGAATTGTTTGTCAATACGTAAATGTCATTACTGTGTTTGGTGGAACGTAACGATATTAATCTTGTGGAATTAATCTTTCTTTTCATTCTAGACGGTAATTGTTTTATAGAAAACAATGATTTTTTACATAAAATATCTTTTAAATTGTCATTCCTTTGAAAATTGTAAATGAAACCACGAAATCTCATTAATAGTCCATACACATTCTTTTTAATAGGCTGACCAAAAATATCTGTTTTTTTAAAAAAACAAAAAACTAGGTCATTGATAAAAGCAAACTGATAACATACAATTTATGTTCTTCTTAAAGCATTTTAATAATAAGACCCTATTTCTTGTACAGGTTCTTTTAGGACTAAAACAAAGAAAAGAAAAACAATCAATCAATCATCTATCCATCTCTCTCTCTCTCTCTCTCTATTCAAAATTTAAGATATTTATACAATGTACAACATTTTCCATCATTCAACAGCTTTACAGTGACGCATTTTCTCCTTCTCCTCCAATTTGCAGAAGACTCTGGTGGAAGATTTCCATCACCAGTTATTGCAAACAGCGGGTCATAGCCCATTTTTCCACAGAGAATATGGTGTTTAGTAGATGTATCCACAACGTATAATTCTTTATGGGAAGTGAAATTTTTAAGCAAAAGTATTCCCAAAGCGTAATTATCTGTTTCATCCGTTAGGCGAAGAATTAATCTCTCTTCTGATATTTTGCCAAAGTTCTTATTCAGAATTTGTAAAAAGAAGAAGAATAAAACCAAACAGAATTGAAAGAGATAAAAAGACTTTCTCTTCTTGTTATCTTTCTCATAAAGCATATTTTAAAATAATGATAATGATGACGATGATACTCAAATCATTTATTATTTTGAATTTGAAATAAAAGTCTTAAATAACATTATTATTAACAAACAATAATTATATATATATATATATATATATATATTAAATTCCGCCATCTTGGATTGGTAATCTAATTCTTTTGATTGAAAAAATAATGTTACAATGAGATATATTAAAGTTTTTAAATTCAAGTGCAAAATGTTATATATAAGGAAAAAACAACGCATTCTATTAGAATGGGGCCAACAGGAAATGTCCCCTAGAGAGATATTGAAAAATGATTTGGAGGAGTTCTTCACGCCATTCACTTCAATGCCGGCTTCTTCCGATTCTCTTCTCCTTCGTGGAGAGATAGATTTACAGAAATGAAATAAGTTCCATTCATTGGAGCGACACAGGCTTGATGAACTTTCACTACTCATAACGGATAATGCTGACTTGGCCAGTCCGTTGAAAGCTGAACTCTGACCTATAGAGTAATAGACCCCCGCTGAGCAAAACATTCAATTTGTTTCTATGATTTTGTTTAACTTAAGGCCTATTTAGCGAAGTAAATAAATGAAGACTGCGCTTGTTAGTTGATTCTTTTCCATCAAGACGATTGTATGTTGTAATTCCAAAATTTCTACCAGTTTTCTCTAGAATAACGCTCTAAAAGTTTTAGATACAGTCGTTGTCACTCAGCCTTATTTATTTGAAGACAATTATCGGACGTATTAAATAAATTCCAACGATTAATGTCAACATTTGTTCATTTGACCTAAATTTGAAAAATGGAAAACTGATCTTTAAATCTCTATTGCAATATGAATGAAATCTTTCATTTTATTCATTCATTTCCAAAGGTTTCGGTGAAATTTATAACATTTTTTCAAAGGTTACTATGCATTTCTTAACAGTTTTTTCTTTAATTATGCAATACATAACGGCTTTAGATTTGTATGTAGTGTGTTTTCCTTTTTTTTCCCATTTCCAGTTTGCTATATTGTTGGTTATCTTGGTGTTTTCTAATCGAAAAATATGATTACAAATATTGTGACGTCACTATTTATCTTAACTTTAATTGATTGGTCAAGTGGATTTAATTTGAAAACTGTTAACATTGCTTTTGAACAATTTACTAAACAATCAACAACATTTGAACAACATATTAGTAATTTTACTGTGAATGGAATTTTTGATCCTCGATTCAAACCAAATGTTTGTAGTCAGACAACTACTGAACAAAATCCATGGTTAATTGTTCAATTTGAAAAAGCTTATATTATTCAAGCAATGCGTTTATTGAACAGAAATAATAATCATCATGAAAAATTAAATAATTTATCTATAAAAACAAAATTATCAAGAGATATTTCAATAACAAATTTTGAGTCATTTCAACTTTTTAACTTTATTGAGAAGTTTTTAGTTTCATCTGGTTCAAAATCTTTTAAATGTAAAACAAAACCTCATTATGCAACAACTGTTCTGTTTTATATCAATACTTTAAATCCATTAACTTTATGTCAAATTGAAATGTGGAATTTGAAAAATTTAGCTAAACATAAAGTAGCTACTTCTAGTAGTTTTATTGGTAATGGATATCCTCGAAATGGTGTTGATGATCTGGTATGTGCTATATTTAATGTTGATGGTATTGCTTGTACACATACATCTCTAGAGAATCTTCCATGGTGGAAAGTCGATTTAGCCAATGAAACTATTGTTTATGCAATTTCAATGATTGGAGATCTTGAACGTCCCGGTAGATCAATGAATGCCTATATAAGTGTTACAGAAAATTCTACTATTCCAGTATTAAATATGCCTATATTGTGTGCAAGTTTTAACGATATTTTACCTAATTATTCAACAGTAAGATGTCCAAAATTGACAATTGGACGTTATGTATCAATCATCCTCAACGCAAATACAGTCCTCACTGTATGTGAAGTTGATGTTTTTGGTGCAAATACTAATGATATTATCATGATTTATTCAATTTTTGTAAATGGTACTGACTACCATCATCTTAATACTCGATTTGTAAAGGATTGTAATGGACATATAAAAGCTACTACAAATATATTAAAAGAGAACATCAATCATTTTAGGATTGAAATCAAAGGTGTTGGAATTGAAAATATATGCCAAAAATATAATATTATGCCAGTGACAACTTTCCAAATTGGAGATAGAAAATATGACGAATTTTGTAAACTAACCAATGTAAACAATGGTTATTTTATAGAAAGAGATATGTATGATAAATGTTCATATTCATGCACTTGTAAAAGTCATCTTTGTCATTCTATCTCTCTGTATGATATCTCAAAATTCGAATCACTTGTCAAAGAAATATTTGTGTTTCTATACCCTAACTAATACTTTTTTCCCAATAAAAATAAGTCATCTTTGTCATTCTTTGTCACTGTTGTAAACAAATCACAGGGAAAACGGCATCTATTATGTCACTTGAGAAGACAATATGAAGATACAATTCACAATTCTTTAATATTCTTAAATGTATAACTTAACATATAAAAACAAATTTGAAATATTGATTGACTAAACAAGTCTGTTCATGTTGATATTTTCTTAGTATAAAACAATGAATAAATAATTTGACTGATACATCAACTATAGAGATAAAATATTTGTAGTTTTTATAATTAACAAACACTACAAACGAAAGAACTCTTTGCGTTGAATTTGGAATGAATTCCATTAATTAATCAAATCATATTAGATATTGAGAGGATTTAGTCAGTCTATGGATTATCTATAATGAAAATATTTGTTAATATTTTTATAGAAGACAGTTATAATGGTTACCTGAAGTTTCCTACAAACAGGTTGAGTACAGTGAAAGACCCATCCTTTAACTGTAACCTTAGGATAAACAGATGACAAGGCTCTCCAAATACCTCTTTCCAAATCCACAACAAATTTCATTGGTATATGTTGATTGGTCAGCTTTATTGACTGTTTTAAAATTTTTAATATTTTTATAATTTCAAATTGAAAAGCATTGATACCTTAAATAGTTTCTTATAAGCTGTCTTTTTCTTGGAAGCCATTAATGCAAACAGTAGGGGAACTTGTGTCATTCCTTGATGTTTTTTAGTGAATTCATGAACTGTGAACAATTGGTAAAATGGATCTCTGACACATTTGAATATACCATGAATAATACCATAATTATATCCACAAATGAGAAATTTTAGGACAAAAATTTGGATTGAGAAATGGTTAGGCAAAAGATAACAGCAACTGATTTGTACTTAGGAGGGTCTCTTCTAAGGGTTAGGGGTAATGGAAAAGGTTAGGTACAGCCAAGGGCTGGGTTAGGGTTAGGATTAAAGCACTGATTTGTGGACGTTTTCTGTCGCATCCAATGACAAGGATGACATTTGTACAATCTCTATACTTTATCTTTAAAAAATTCACCACTCTAATTGATGTTCCTGTGAAGATTTACATGGACACAAAGATATTTACATTCAATATCCGAATTGTTGTGAGTATGGGTAAAATATCTTCATCACTTAATTTGTATGCAATATTTCGTGTTTTAGAAGTATTCACCATCACAGATATTTGTCAATATGGTCTGTGATACTGAGTATAACTGGATTTATATTGTGTAAAGAATTATTCTGATCCTGGGGCTCACTTGGTAATTCATGCAACAATCTTCTTTCCTCTAAATCCAACCATGCCAACTGTATCGTAAAGATAGATCTTTGACTGAAGTATTTAATATGTTTAGCCATCCAATGAAAAATCAAGATTCAAATTGTCAAGATCTGATTTTATGACAACATATCCCCTAATTGAATTTCTGCAATATGGGCATTTTGATTTTTCAAGGCTCGTTAGACATACCCTGCAACATATTACGTGATTGCAAGGAAGTAGTAGAATGTTTGCAATATGACTAAAACACAGTTTGCATTTTAGAATGTCATTAATATGATGATATTTTTTTGCTTCTTCATTCAATAATGATTGTGAATCATTTTTGAAGTCTGACTAAAAAAGTGATTAGATTTAAGCAAAGTTATTTAAATTCAAATTCTTACTTGGCTTGATTGTTTCGACATTGCGTGTTTAATTAAATCAAGTACACAGTTCGCTTTATGAAATTGCAATGGTTATTCATTTTTGAGGTTTTACACATATTTGACAGTGGTTATAAACTCAAAATTTTTAGCCTACATTTCAAAGCAATTACAGTGCTTTCACTGCAGGAATACCCCAATAATCACAATAGGCCTCCTTTCATTTTATTTTTTTATACACAGAATACCAAATGTTTGCTTAAGAATTTAAAATGAACCTTTGTGAAGTGGTACAATTGATAAATATTAAAATTTCCATTTGAAACGGTACCCTTGAAATTCTAGACATTTTATTTATTAATACTAAAGAAAATGGGGGCCGACAGAAAATGATTTAAAGAACATTTAATGATAAAAGATAAAAATATGAAACAAGTGAAATAAAAACATTTAAAAAAAGAATATTATGGAGCATAAATACATGATGTTTGAACTAATAATTTCATCAGAAAAAAGCCCTCCAAGTCTACAATTTTCCCATATTTCAAATATTTTTTTCTCTATTTTGGTATACTGCTTTTTCTAGTACTTGATAATCATCTTCTTAGACATAAGCTTTTCATAGATAATAACTAAATATGCTTCTCTCTTCAGTTCATCAACAAACCAATAGAATGATCCTTTAGATGGTACTTTATTATTCATTCTATTGTGTCATCCCCCCACATTGTTATTAGTCCTTATGGACAGACCATATATAGACCAATTCTTTGGTTTCCATATGGAGTTCATAATCCTAGTAGACTTAAAATATTCCAACAAATCTGCAAATTTTTCTTTTTCTGTCAGGTGACATATTAATCTGTAAAATGATGGAGCAATGATATTAGCAGGTAGAAAAGGTAAGGCCATCAGCTTTCTCATGTCTCTCCAGTCCTCTCCTTCCTCCATATACTTTCCAGAGTAGCCAAGAGACTTGAAAGAACATTCATTGTAAAGAAAAATAATTCAAAATGGCTGAAAAATATTTTTCAAATAAATTGGATTTTTTAACAAAAATAAATAACATGTAATCAAAATATTAAGACAACCTTAATCTAGATTTTATTACACATATGAAATGACCTCTTTTAAATCTTCTATGATAATCTTTGCCCAAATATAATTATCAAAAAAAGCTTGACTTTCAAAGAAAATTCTTTGCAAAGTGAAAGTTAACTTCAGTTTCTTCATTTTTAAAATGGCTGTCATTTCATATTTCAACATTGCCTTTGTTTCTGTAGGTTTCATTATTATACTTCAAAATAATAAAATTAAAAAAAGCTATGTTTCTATGGGTATGGTTTCACTCAGTATGGGTACAGTTTCACTTGGGTTTGGTTTCACCTGGGTACAGTTTTACCTGCTCCCTCTTGACCTTGACATTATCATTGTTTTCATTGTAAAGCCATTCAACTGCGTAATAATTCACTCTTTTTTCTTATATTTCTATTTGAATAAAAGATGGTTATATATTATATATATGGTTATGAGAAAGAATATGTAGTGAGTAAGTCAGTCCCAATCTAACAATACAGTTAAGACAAAAATAATTTGCCTACAATTGCAAAACAACAAATTACAAATATATTGACATTTTCTGTTGATTCATTGATGTTTTCCTCCATGTATGTTTTCTGTTGACCCTGATTGCTGATGTTAAATCTATTCAAGCTTTACTGAGAATTAATATACAAAGGGTGAAAAATACATTATCTTTTTAGGCTTAAAGCTGAGTGGCTCAAAAACAATTTAAATCAAGGCAGGTTTATTTAATTTAACAGCAGGAGAAAATGTCCAGAGTAGTAGAGAATAAGCTATCCTGCAATCTAAAAATGAAAATGTACCTGTCAACAATGCATGTGGCAAATCATTGACTTTATAAGAATTACTGTTGGTTGTTCCTCTTCATTAGTTTTCTGTTGAGAGGAGCTACAACTTTATTTCATTAACTTTGCGTTTTCTTGAGAGTTATCTTCAGTCTCACTAGTGGTTGGAGTTTTGTTTCTCTGTGTTGTCTGCCTACCAATACAGTAGGAAATTTTGATACAGACTGTTGATACCATGACATTCAAACAAATGTTTTCCCAGATTGATAGTGCCAATTATAAAAAATTGTTTAATTCCAGGTATATTGGGTACCATGCTACTTTCTCTGCAATAGTTACCATGTTATCACATCTGGCTTGGTTCTGTTCTATTGAATTGATGGCCAGTTTCATCTTTGAGTGTTCGTGAGCAATAACTTTCTTTATGTCATTGTGCACTTAGATATAATGAAATATCAATACTTAGACTTTAGATATAAGGGTACATTAGAAAGACTTCTATTTCAAAGGAATTCGAATGGTGCAACTTTAGAAAGACTTTTATTTCGTAGAGTTAGCTTTTGTACTTTAGAAAGAACTATTTTGTAAGAAATAGACTCTTTTACTTTTCTCACTATATGCTACTGGTCTTATCCAATTTACTCCTTGTAGCATTTCTTGTTCCTAAACAGCTACATTAACCCTAGGGCTAGCAAGTTTACAGTCTGTGTGCAACGAGGGGATTGCCAGTCTATTCTGATTGTGCTCATTTCTAACCGCCATGACCTAGCCCTATTACAAACAGAGGGAGCCACTCACTGAATATCCGAAAAAGCTAAGCTTGCCAAAATTTTCCCACTTATTCTCCTAATGAAGATGGGTCGAAATGTAGTAACTTATATTTAATTGAGTTTTTTCAGTGATAAACTATTTTTAAATTGTCTCCTCTCTCTCTCTACCTTTTCTAATGGATTCTAAAAGTACAACTAGATTGTCAAAAAAATGATATGGCCTATAATGAGAAATGCTACACATTTCTTTTTATCATCAATTAAAGACCAAATACCATACAATGATCATTTAGAACCAAGAGAACAATGCAAAGCCTACAATATGACACTAATGGAAATTAATAGTTTTGATGGGACACTTTTCCATTCTTCTTTCTTTCTTTCAGACTGTTTTTAGTCATAGCTCAAAATGTTTTGTGCTCTTTGAGACAGATGAAGACAACATAAAAAATGATATCCAGCAGACAACTGAGAGTATGCGCATAGAATTAGGCTAGGGTTAAGAGGAAACTCCATGACAAGCTATCTGAAGTAAAGTTGTTTCTTTACTCTTAGCATCATCTCCAACTTTAAAGGAAACACTTCAACTATTTGTAGGTATGTCACTATGTATGTCAGAGCATTTCAAATAAATTTTATAGTTGTTCTATTGTATATAACAAAACACTAAAATCAAACTGAAA